AGGGAGAAATAGAGAAATCTCCATGACAGAAGTGGATAACATCTAGCCAACTTATGTTGAGGACGCTGAAAACTTTACAAAATGGACAGTTTGGACAAAGCTCATCGAATTTCAAAATAGTCTGTACGTCTTTCAACAGCTAACTTCAACAACTTCACCAATGGTGGAAGTAATAAATCTGCCGGACAATTTCTTAAAAGGACATCAAAATTAACTTCCAATAAAGCATATGTCGATCAATGCTAATATGAGCAAGTCATGAAACTGGAAGTGCATGTATGGGATATAGTACTAAACGGGATACGATAATATAATGACCAATGTTTTAACTTATTTTTATTCTTGAATACTGTCCAGTGTCATCCAGCCCTTCCTATGAACATGTTATTTTACGTGTGGATCAATCTTTTTTTTACCTGCAAGTGATGTTAGCAATCGCAGAATCAGCTGTTATCTGCCTTTCTGCAGCAATCTTGCTTGCAACTAGATCTGGCCATGAGGTTCCAGCGGCCAATGCTGTGAATGCTATGACATAAGAATTGATACCTGCAAAAAAATATTGACTCAAACTGAAAACACCAGCTAAGTTTCATTAAAGGATTGTTAAGGTAACCATTAGTAAACATGGATCCATAGAGAATTTGAAAACCTGTGACATAGCTTATTAGATCGGTAAGCTTTGTTACAATGTAAGCAATTCCACTGATGAAGAGTAGAGAGCAAATGAAGGCAATCCACCCATGTGCAATCTGATAAGGAGGTACAAAAGCAAAGAGTAATCTCCAAGGTGCAAGGAGCAACTGCCAGAAAATTTTAGCAGCCCGTACGGATATATTGTTCAGTTTTCTTGATTCAGGACTTTCCAACTGTTTAAAGAAGGAAATTATTCAATAAAGAGTGAGAAAATCATCATGTAATATTACATCAAAGATATTATGCCGTCCTAATCTGAATAGATTGCAGCCAACTCATTGATGACGCAGAAAGAAAGACAGAACTGTATATGGTGCAGAGCAGGTGCACGCACTTTCAACAAAAGAAAAGACTGTCTATATGTGCCCCCCACCCCCCTAAAACAGTAGTTACGGCCCAAAACTGGACAGCTAATAAAGAGATGTCTATAGAAAGAGAGATGGAGATGAAAGATAAATTGTTAATATTTGATGTGGCGAGGGCTCAAGAAATATGATATCTCAATAAAAGACGAGATTGACCGGACAAGACACCACAAAATCAAGTACCATTAAGGCATCGATGAATTGCTGTTTCCAAATAGGAAGCACGTGATCTTCTCCAGGAACAATCTCCTTGTGAAAATTATCAGAGCAAGATTCATCAGCATCAGTATAGCTCAAGTTTTGATATGCAGGACCTGCAGGTTATATTTGGTAAAAGAAATGTTGGAATAGGTAAATTTAACCAATCAATGCAATGCGGAATTACACAAGTCACAACATATTGCAACTGTGACAACAACAGCGAATAGAGTATGCTCCCTATTATGAAGAAGGCTCATATCAAGAAACTTAGCCACTACATTCTTTCTGTGTTTTCTATTTGTGTTCTATCCTCTTTTCTATGCAATAATTTATTTAAGTGATCCTTTAGGCTTTAGCTCTTGTTGATTTCTAATTCTATTCAAGTAAAGAGACGTTCTGAAATGATAAGTGAATAAAATTAGCCATTCAGTTAGGATTACCCGTCCCATTTTCTGAGTGAATGGAGAAAATGTCAACAATGCTTTTGCTGTTCTCTTCATCAACTTGAAGAATTTCAGAGTGCTCATCATGAACAATGTTTCCATGTCTACATATAGCAGCTTCTGCTGGTACCCAATCTTCTGGCCTCTCAGTTCTTTCCCTGATAGATAAAGGTGCTGTCAGAAGCAGAGACTCTCTCTCTCTCTCTAGGATATAATTTAGAAGAGATTCGGCTGTTGAAGTTAGTAAATGGGGGCAGGAAAAAATGAGTTTATAAACCAAATACCTACAGTGGAAGCGACAAGTATGGCCAACGTTTGTCTTGCGCATATGCATGAACCAACAATAGCCCAAATTGCAGCACTGTCAACAAAGCTTCCCATAGAGTAACAACATTTGGAGACCACACCTGCAAGGTCATAGAGAATTAACTACCGAATGAGTACTTCACATCTTGGAATGACAATGAATAAACTAGTATTATCACACATAAGATCAGTTAAAATTGTATCCATACGTTAACATATTTTCACGAGAAGTTTCACTTAGATAAGTTGGTAATAAATCTTACATATTAATTACATGCTCGCAGATTGGACAATTTCACCCCCTAACTTAACGTCCACTTTTCCCAAATGAACACATCCTTCCTATATACTTTCTCAAATTACCTTCAATTGGGAAGAAAAAAAATTCCTACTCTATTACTTATTTCATTAAGATACATCTATCTGGACAAAAACTTCATTTCTTAAGTTCCCTTCTCTTAAATTCATCAGGATTCTTTTTCACAACGTGTTTTCAGATGAAGCAGCTATATTACTTGAAAGAGACTCACTTTTGTGTGGACTGGGAATACAAAACAAAGTCTCATAAGAATCAAAATCAGTTAAAGTAAGGGATAAAGAACAGCAAAACGTTGTCTATATTAGTAATATAAGAACTAACCAAATAATACTATTGGATAATAAAACATGAAGATGTAGGTTTTCAATTGTTCAAGTTCCAGCCCTCAAAGTTAAGTTTGTGATGAAAATGAATTTCACCTCTAGTATTATATAGAGCCAGATGTAAGCCCAGAAAGACCAAAAGAGCTCCACAAGCCAGACTCCAACATCTGATATCTTTTTCAGTTCTCCAGCTTTGGGAACTACCACGCAAACCGCATGGATAGGAAATAGATCAAACGCAGCAGAACCAACTAGTGTTCCAGGACCCAAACCTATTAATAAAATTTGATAAACATTCAATAGTATTCGAACAAAACAAGTTCTTGAGATTGATTCCTGTAGTTGCTGGATTGCTGTCTCGTGATAAGATCAAATAAAAACTGAAAAAGAGAAACAAAAAAGGCGGAACTCACAAAATCAACATGTTTTGCTGAAAACATTTTGGAGCAAATCAAGCCAAAACTGAATCAATAACTTTCTACATCTAACATATGGCCAAATCCAGTTTCCAACAAAAAAAATGAGATTTAGATAGGAAAAATATGGAGTACCCAAGTTCATGCTAGAGTTCTGTAATTGTACTGATGATACAGAAAAATGACAATACTATACGATAAGTGGTAACCAAGAATGGACAGTATACAAGTCTCATGTACTGAGTTCAGTTTAAGAGCTGCCAGTGATATAGGTGTTATTAAAGACAGGATTGGTGTATTTAACTTTCAAAATCAATTTGGACGGTCAAAGAGAACCTCTCTACAACTCTAAAAGCAAACGATGATGTGTGAATAACTGCAAATTAGTCTTTATGATAACATAATGGGACTGGATAGACAACGTGTGCGTAAAACTGTAAAGTTATCCTTTTAAATGAATGCAAAACAAACCTCCAGCATGCAAATTCCCGAGATTCCTGATTGCATCAATTGTGGCCAAAGAGATCTGGGGAAAGCTAGTCCCAAATGCCAGCAGGGTGATGTCTGCTATGGTATAATTCCACACTTTTTCATGTTTGACTGTTTTGGCGTTTGTGTAAGGATCTATTTCCACCACTGTCCGAGTATGCTTAACGACGTTTTCCATAGACAGGAAAAATCGAGCAGTTATAGCTGATAATCCAATAAAACAGTAGGCAAGGACCAGCAGATACGAGAAGGCCAGAAAACCATTGCCAAGCCTGGTCTCATAGCGGAAAAGAAGATAATATTCAGGCTGTTCACGCTCAAAGATATTAGAAACTCCTATGCTCTCGAGAGTGTGATTACTCAGAGAAACCATTTGATAAAACTTCACGGCTCAAGGCTCAAGCAAGATCCACCAATGATCTCCCTAACTGATATTAGAGCCCTACAAGTTTAGAAATTGGTACCTATATCCATGATTGAGAATCAGAAAGAAGAGAATTTGAAACAATAATTAAAAGAGAAAAAAAGTGTTCCTTGAAGTTGTGATCAAATAACTATTTAATTCATCCAGTCAAATTATGTATTTAAGGAAAAACGCGCAACATTTCTCAGAGCATTTTATAGAAACAGCCAAAATTGTACTGTGTAACATGCAAACCGCACCCATTAAATGCCTGGTCTCGACATCAGTTTTCCTCTAATCGAACATCACTACGACACATTTACACCTACCTGATTATATATTAATAGGCTCAAAACAGCCAATGAACTAAACAACTGCTAGAATCTTCAAATTCCCATAGAAAGCATCCGATGTTAAAATTCAAAATTACCTTTTCATGTCAGCTAACTAAATATCCAATGATCACATAACCCAATTAGCACAAACCAAAAAATCCAAATTAATTAAAAATTAGAACATTGACAGCACATCAATAATCACCGTTTCCAAACTTCTGGGAAACCAAACTGAAGCCCTTTTGTAAACATTTTGTCATCAAATCAACCGAGAGATTGATAGATTCTAACCAGAAATCGAAGATACGATCAAGAGACTTCTCGGTGTCGAAATCTGGCTATCAACCGGAATCCCGACCGCACATACAAGTTACAACGATTTATCTAAGTAAAAAATAAAAATAAAGCAGGAATAGCGATAATTCAGGGAATTCTGAACTTGAGGAATGTAAAATTCTCAAACATGGGTAAGTAAAACGTGCAAGAACTTGAGGTCTCTGATTTAAGCAGCGAAATTCGTATGAAAGGAAAATCTATCAAAATATCAAACTGCCGACATAGCTAATCCTAGTCAATCAATTTGATCACTCATTTTGCATCACTTTCATGTGCTTATAATTTAATTCTTAATTATAATTAATTGCAGCTAGTCGAAATCTGAATAGCCAAAATTTCAACAACTTGGGTTCAAAAGTGTCCATTTAAAGTGACACTGATATTGAGCTCATTATTTGAAATTTTTGGAATAGTGTTTTTTTTAAAAAATTGTGTGGTTAAAAATAATAAAATGTTCTAGAATTACGTATAATATTATTTTATTGAAAAATATATAATTGATAAGAAAAAAGAGAAAAATAAATTATAATTACAGGGAGTGTTAACCGTTAAGCTCAGTGCATCATATTTGACCAAGCGGTTGAATTGACCAACATAGAGCTTGTTTAGTAGAGATTTTTGGGGAAAGAATTGATTTTTGAATAGTGATATGATGGGAAATGTGTGGTTGAAAAATAAGAAAAATTTATTGATATGATGGAAAATATTATTTTATTGAAAAATGTGTGGTTGAAAATAAGAATTAATTTGAGAATCAATTCTCAAATCACTATCAAACACCCCCATAATATCTTATTGTGGGCCAGTCGTACCGTAGACTCGTAGTTGAGACAAAATGGGAAACAAGAATCACGTTGGATCCCGCTCACGTGTAGGAGTTAGGAACGAAGATATTTATGAATTAAAATAAAATTAATGATCATCTTAGCTGTTTTACTTTTATTTAACCATTAAAAAATGCCATCTGATCAACTATTACTTGATATATTTATCCTTGGTTGCCAGATAAAATAGGGATTTTAATCTAAATTAAAATTAACACACATAATTTATGGGACGCACAATTTTACAATTACGCATTTCATCAACTTCTGTTAAAATTTACTAAAAATCCGATTT